CCGGTTCGAAAAAACAGGTCAGTTTGATGATAAAAGACTGTCATTGTTGACATTAATCACTCGCACTGGCAACTTGCCTTAATCAACCGTACAAACTACCCTAACAAAAAGGAGGTCACAATGTTTAGAGAATTTGATGGTTTCAGCATTCCCTCTACATCATCTCACCTACTCTGCACTTGTCCCCAATTGATGGCCTCGCTACGTGAGGGCACAGTAGCATCTGCTAATACCACCACAGTTTGGGAATTTAAAAACAAACTAGAATCAAAAAGGAAAACAATTTACCCATAATCTCACAATTTTGTTTATCCAAATCAACCATAGTGCCCTATTTTGAGAGGAAATTATAGCCAAGCAGTATATGTACAGAACGAACATCAGACACCAAAAACTCTACAACAAGAACAAGGGAATCAAACTGACACACAGTCTGCCAGCATCCCTCAATATGCACTCCACCACCATTAGCAGCTGTGTATCCGCTCCATAAGGTGTCAGAACACTTCTATTAGTAAATGAGAGCCACGCACATTTTGGGATCACAGAGTGGGAAGTTCTGTGATCGGTAAGCACTCATTATGCATCTCCTAGCAGAAATATTAGCTCTATTCTAGCCATCACTGTCACATGGATTTAAACACATTCCCATCTCTGCTTTTAACATGGTGGGATTTGCTTTAACTGTTTCAGACAACCCACTATTGACTTGACAAGCTTTACCACAAAAAAAAGGCACATGAATTTTTATCTGAGTGAATTTTCTCAGTTATTACCACCTGCTGCCACCTCAAATTGCTCAGCCCACTCTAACCACTCACATCCTGTCCCAGAAAAACTTTCAGACATAAAGACTGATCTAGGTGTTACAACTAAAGACTGACTAGTGCTTGGCTCTGATAGAGAAGGTGGATTATTTTCAGGCATCGACATTCTGAAATTGTGGTCCCACTTTGGGCACCAGTGTAATGTGAGAATTTGTTGTGTGGTGGTTAAATCACTCCAGATATAAAAAATGAGCAGGATGCAAGCAGATAACTTTAGTAATAGCAACTCTTCTGATCTTCACACATCAGCCTTCCACAACAACCACACTTCTTGATTTGAGCTCACATAACTTAATCCATCCAATCAGAAGCTAGACGGGTAAATGAGGATACAGATTGTGTTGTAAAGTGCTTTGAGTATCCTAGTTGAACAGGAAGGTGCTATATATGTAGCTGTTTTGTTACTCTTTTTGCCATATTATTTGTAAAAAAAAAAAAAAATCTGTATGCCTTTTTATAACTGTCTGTTGTTGTTGCTGTTGTCCATTGTTGTCATCATTCTTTGTTGAAATCGGGTCTCGCTTGTAAATGAGTCCTCGAGGCTCAATGGGATTAACCTGTCTAAATAAAGGCTGAATGAATGATAAATGCAGGTTCTATTAAGGAGTAGGAATCAGCAGCAACAGTCCACAGGGAAGGCCCTTCTCTGTAAGAGCATGTGATTTCTATAATCTGCTTATAATATAAAATGATCAAATTTACCAACTCAGCTCAGTGGTGGTTGTTGGGATTTAAGCCATGCAGTGAACAAGGGTATGTTTTTCCACACTGAAGGTCTTTGGGTACCAGCAAAAAAAAAATGGTGCAACCATGCTGCATTTCTGTACATCCGCTCTGTCTCTAAAGCAATGCTGACATGGGAAAACAACCCATTCTGGTCTCAGAGTCGTGACATAAAACTCCCAACAGATCAACAACAAACTTGTCTTGAATAAATAACTCTCTTTTTATGTATTTTTCTCATATTGCTGAGCATAAAATAGAAAATTATAAAGCGTTTAATATTCCTTTCAACAAACATAAGACGGGAGAGAAGGCATTACATTCAGTAGAGTAAAATTTCAGCTGCTGTGATGAATGACTTGTTTGCATCAACTCGCCCTGAGCGTTTCATAAATATTAATAAGCCTAATTTATTTGTTGCCTCTTTCTGAACAAGCCATAAAATGCACTGGGCACAGGCAGTAAATGGCAAAAAGGAATAGATTATTTAATTTTGTGAAGTTGAGGAATGCTGACTGCACACATTCCCCCTACAACTCGTTGCATTTTGTTTACAGACCATTTAAAAAGAAAGATTTTCACCAGCATTGTTCTGCTTAGTTCAGGTTAAGTAAGGATACAAAGTTCAGCCAAGGTCATCTACATTCTAAAAGACAGGGGCGATTCTAGAATCTGATCTTTAGGGGTGCTCAGCCCCCAGTGTTGACTGGCTTTTGGCTTGGACAACACAGTGGCCATTGGTGTCAGAGGCGTTTGTAAAATAGGGAGGGACACACACTAGTTAGTGTGTGTGTGTGGGGGGGGGGGGGGGGGGGGGGGGGGGGCGGTGTCTGGGTGTCCTCCCCCAGAAATTATTAAATTAAGTAGATGCCATTTCCTGCATTCTGGTGTTTAAATGGGTTTATAAACATCCACATTTACCTACATTAGTAAACACTTGATTTAATAACTGTTTTAGAGAGACCAGCACAACAAGTAGTCCTAAGCTAGTGGCATGCAATACAGACACGCTAGCTAAGATGCTAGAGACGCAGCGCTCCGCTTTACATTACACAACCTAATAAACACTGTGTACAAAATCAGTTTAGCGTTAACTGATCAACAAACAAAGACTAAATTTATTCAACCAGAAGTTGCAACATATATCTACGTATAACACAAAACACAACCAGCTTTAAGTATTAACCTTTAATTTAACCATTAATCATACAATCCAACATTTTTCAGTCAGGTCATCTGGACAGTTTCTTTTTTTTTTGTGCTGAAACGTTTCACCTTTGGTCCAGAAACTGAAACATTTCAGCACAAAAAAAAAGAAACTGTCCAGATGACCTGACTGAAAAATGTTGGATTGTATACCTGGATTATTGAGCATGGACTTTGTTATTAATCATACAATGTCATTATGAGAGAAAATGGAGGATTTACCTGCAGTTACCTTCATACAGATGAACATGTGGTACTTCCTGTTTATCACTATTGTATTCAGCTGTTCATGAGGTCAGTCGCAGGCTTATCCATCTTTTACATTTTTCCAGACTCGATTTAGATTTTGGAAATGGATTAATCTGTATTCCACCCTCTAACCACTCGGAGTAACGCTGTCTGAATTACATGTTCCCCATTGACAACGTTTATAACCATTCTTTCTGATGCCAGCAATGTTCAGTCAGATCATCTGGACGGTTTCTTTTGTTGCTGAGACGTTTCGTTCTTCGTCCGAAAGACTTCTTCAGTCTGAGGAGCCCACCAAACCAAACTGAATCCCAAACAGCTGAACAATGTTGGATTAATGAGCATGAACTTTGCTGTTTTGAACCTGTTTGGCATGGTCTGCCTTAGAGTAGTTGACGGAGGAGAGGGCAGGCCCCGGAGGCCATCTTATCACCAGCAAACTGGTTTTTTTCCACTCTGGGAGTGAACTGTTTGTGGGATTCAGTTTGGTTTGGTGGGCTCCTCAGACTGAAGAAGTCCTTCGGATGAAGGATGAAACATCTCAGCAACAAAATAAACTGTCCAGATGACCTGACTGAACATTTTTGGATTTTTACCTGAATTAATGAGCATGAACTTTGGTATTCTTTCTGAGGATTTTCACAAAATCCCTCTGACCACAAAGCATTTGAAATGCAAAACCCCAACAATGTTGTCAGATAAGAAGGGGGTGGAGGTCCTGCAGGTAAGGAGCGTTTCACTTTGGGACACATTGAGATCGCTGATTGGTCAGTTGCTGACAAGCCTGCAGGACTGATTGACATGTGGCACTGAAGAGCCGACTCGTGCAAAAAAATATATATATATTTTACTGGCCCTTTTTAGTGACATTCCATATTTTTTCCAAATTTATTCAATATATTGGTGAATCTAGGGTTTGAGAACTGAGTTTCCTTACAAAAGCCAAATGATGGTTCTTTCATTTTTCAGGGGTGCTGAGTTTAAATTTAGAGACGCTTGAGCACCCCCAAAAATAGTCTAAAATTGCCACTGCTAAAAGGTGCAATGAAACAAAAGGCCTCAGCCCCTCACCTGCTGCCTGCTGGAGAACAGGTGGATAAAAATGAGATGTTACCGTTTCACAAGTTCTCCAACCCAGAACTGCCGTGTCCAGCTGGACTGGTCTGCTGTCTTTTGTGTCCAGTCTGTTGTTAAAAAAAATGACCAACTGGATTCAGCAAACATTTTACAAGAGAATTAACTTGTTTTATCACTGACCTTACGTTCTAAAGACAGATTACTTAACATTTTTAAAAGGCACTGACGCAACGTCATACTGAGGTTCATTTATTTCGTCTGTAACCTGTTGAAGTCAAAGGTCCAGCATTCTTTGAAGGAATGCAAACAGACCAACACTCATCTTGCCAGTTTTAATTAAATGAAAACCATCTTATGAGGAAAGGCTCAAGGGCTGTACAGTAGTTGTTTTTGTCTGCCTTCATAAATGACAATATGGGCAACACTCGTGTACTGTATTTTGGGAGACGTGTTCATACTCAAAGTCTATGTATCAACTACTAATGCAAGTGAAACTCAGTATATGTAAATTTAACCAAGTTATAACCACTCTTGTTTGTGAAAGACACTTAAGTGCGGTGGCCATCTTGAATTGGGTTGGTTGACTCATCCATTGATTACGTTCTGAGAGTTTTGTTAAAATCCATCCACTGGATAACTAAATGATTTAAACAATGATCAAACACCATCCATCCAAACAGATGCACACAGACAAACCATAAAAGCCCTTTCACCTTCAGTGCTGAGCCACAAATGTGAATTGGCCCTCAAAAAAGTTGCCATAAAAAGCAACTGGAGACAATTTTGTCTAGTAATTTTAAAGAACATCACTCAAGAAAAAACAAGAAAAATGTTTATTAACACATGTTGGCATGATAAAAAAAAACCTTTAAATAATAGTTACATGATGGCATGTCTTTACAAAGTAACACACGCTGGTATGAATCAAGTTGATTTACATTTGAATTCAGCAAACAGGAAGATGTCTCCTGACGTCACGATTCAACAATTCAAAAGGAGTCACTGGTAATTAGGTAACAAATTTGTTCCGGATTATCTCTCCACCTTCCACCTCCACCTGCTCATACAGCCACTTCCTGTCGCAGCGGCACTCGACCCCACACTTGCGCGATCCACACTCTGGGCAGGGGTAGAAGCAGCCCATACAGTCCACATCCAGGCAGTCGCACATGTCTCTGCCGTTGGACAGCAGCCGGCCTTTGTTGTCGTACACTCTGCTTTTGGTGGCGCCGCTCTGCCTGTGAGGAAGATTCAAAGCACATGATGACATCTGTTCCCTCGGATACAACTGTTTGATGTAATATTCTTGAAGCCTCTTCCCCTCAGTGGCTTTCCATAATTACATTTTCGCTTGTTTTCTATCGCACATTATGACAGTGTGAATTTATCACAGCCAAATATAAAACCATCCACACGTATATCTCCATTAACACTGTCAGAGTCTAACGCGCTCAGGCAATGTCAGCCGACATGAAGTCAGGAGAATAAAAACCTGGGGCTAATTTTGTCTTTCGTTTTAGAAAGAAACAAACATTACATTCAAATCACAATAATCTGACTAGAGAAGCTGCAATGTGACTGCAGAGTGCTGAATGGCTGCTGAAGATGTGAAAAATGAGCTGTTAAAGCTAACGAGCAAAATTCTATTTAAAGTGTAAAAGGAGCAAAACCTAAAGAAAAAGCTAAAAGTAACAGACCAACAGCTAAAGGCTACAAAGAGCAAAACACCATCCATCCATTATCTTTTACCCGCTTCTTCCATTTTGGGTCACGGCCGGGGGTCGCCGGTGCCCATGTCTGGCAATCACAGTGCAAGGGGTGGGGTACACCCTGGACGGGTCGCAAGTCCGAGCAAAACACTAGCAAAAGGTAAAAGTAATGGACCAACAGCTAAAGGCTAAAAAGAGCAAAGCGCTAGTAAAAGGTAAAAGTAACCGACCGACAGCTAAAGGCTAAAAAGAGCAAAGCGCTAGTAAAAGGTAAAAGTAACCGACCGACAGCTAAAGGCTAAAAAGAGCAAAGCGCTAGTAAAAGGTAAAAGTAACGGACCGACAGCTAAAGGCTAAAAAGAGCAAAACGCTAGTAAAAGGTAAAAGTAACCGACCGACTGCTAAAGGCTAAAAAGAGCAAAACGCTAGTAAAAAGCAGCATTTGAAGACTAAAATAATAAAACCAGCCTACTGAATTAAATCTCAAACAGAACAAGGTTTTCAGAGGAATTTTAAAAATCTCAATGTGTTTTTATGTATAAACAATTAATAATTAAAGTTAAGTTATTGGAAAAGAATAAAAGTTACAAAAACCAAAAGTCGTAGTAGCAGCCATCTCGTCACTGAGCTGAACGTTTATTATCTGAAGGGCTAATATCCAGGGCTAAAATCCAGAAGCGGTGACATTATTAAAAAAAAAGGTAACGTGAATTATCATCAAACAACGGAACCACAAGGAAAATCCCAGCTTCTGAAGAGATATTACAAGATGTAATTTCCCAGCGATTAAATCATTTCTTGAAATTTGCCAGTTTTTCATTCCACCTCCTGGTCAGTTACTGAGGAGGATGCACAACTTTCAATTAGCCACAGAAATGTAAAGTTTGCTGCTGACTGCCACAATCTGTTAAATCTGAAAAACAGGAAATTATACTTGAGAGCATCATTTTCACAAGAATCTACTTTTTAAGTATGTCGAACAGAACTGGATGTTTTACTCAATTGGGCTATGCAATAATAAGAGCACTTAGTTCGGCTTTAAAGAATCAAGTTACCCTCCAAACTTAGGCAGGGTCCAGCAAGAACAAAGACACCATCAGAGGGCCTCACCTGTCAGACAGAAGTTTTCCTCCACGTCCTCCTCCTCGTCCACCCTGCAACATCAGGACATTTTACACTCAGCTAACCCTCTCAGGGGGTGCAGACATGGGACGTTTTCATTAAAACTTTAAGACTAATACAAAGTAATCTGTGTTTCAAATGAAAATTTGTAGCTCCAATTGTGATTAACAACTCTTTCAATCAACAACATGTCAGTGTGTCACAAGCTAACACATATTTAAACTTCTGCAAATATTTTTATTTATTATGTTAGTGTACATTATTGTTCTGGGAGAAATGTATAAAGTAGTTACTACTTTGCAGTCTGACTTTTGTGGAATCATTCTTTCACGGGTTTTCAAAGTAAGATTGTACACAACACACGATTGTCCGTCCATCCATCCATTTTCTTCCACTTATCCAGGGTTGGGTCGCGGGGGTAGCAGCCTAAGTAGGGAGGCCCAGACTTCCCTCCCCCCAGCCACTTGGTCCAGCTCCTCCGGAGGAATCCCGAGGCGTTCCCAAGCCAGCCGAGAAACATAGTCCCTCCAGCATGTCCTGGGTCTTCCTCTGGGTCTCTTCCTCTGGGTCTCTTCCTGGTGGGACGTGTCCGGAACACCTCACAAGGGAGGTGTCCAGGAGGCATCCTAACCAGATGCCCGAGTCACCTCAACTGGCTCCTCTCGACGTGGAGAAGCAGCGGCTCTACTCTGAGTCCCTCCCGGATGATCGAGCTTCTCACCCTATCTCTAAGGGAGAGCCCAGACACCCTGCGGAGAAAACTAATTTTGTCCGCTTGTATCCAAGATCTCGTTGTTTTGGTCACAACCCAAAGCTCATGACCATAGATGAGGGTAGGAAAGTAGATTGATCGGTAAATTGAGAGCTTCGCCTTTTGACTCGGCTCTCTCTTCACCACGACAGACTTGTACAGCGCCCGCTTCACTGTAGACGCTGCACCTATCCGCCTATCGATCTCACGTTCCATTTTTCCCTCAATCGTGAACAAGACCCCAAGATACTTGAACTCCTCCACTTGGGGCAGGATCTCCTCCCTGACCTGGAGGGCACTCTACCCTTTTCCGGCTCAAGACCATGGCCTCGGATTTGGAGGAACTGATCCTCATCCCGGCTGTGTCGCACTCGGCTGCTAACCGCTCCAGCGAAATCTGATGAAGCCAACAGGACCACATCATCTGCAAAAAGCAGAGACGCAATCCTAAGGCCACCAAAACGGATCCCCTTAACACCTTGGCTGCGCCTAGAAATTCTGTCCATAAAAGTTATGAACAGAATCGGTGACAAAGGGCAACCTTGGCGGAGTCCAACTCTCACCGGGAACAAGCCCGACTTACTGCCAGCAATGCGGACCAGGCTCTGACACCAGTCATACAGGGACCTAACAGCCCGTATCAATCAGCCCTGTACTCCATACTCCCAGAGCATCCCCCACAGAATTCCCTGAGGGACGCGGCCGAACGCCTTCTCCAAGTCCACAAAGCACATGTAGACCAGTTGGGCAAACTCCCACACACCCTCCAAGACCCTGCTGAGAGTGTAGAGCTGGTCCAGTGTTCCACGACCAGGACGAAAACCGCACTGCTCCTCCTGAATCCGAGGTTCGACTATCCGACGGACCCTCCTCTCCAGAACCCCCGAATAGACCTTACCAGGGAGGCTTAAGAGCATGATCCCCCTGCAGTTGGAACACACTCTACGGTCCCCCTTTTTGAATAGGGGGACCACCACCCAGGTCTGCCACTCCAGGGGAACTTCCCCCGATGTCCACGCAATATTGCAGAGTCGTGTAAGCCAACACAACCCTACAACATCCAGAGCCTTAAGGAACTCTGGGCGAATCTCATCCACCCCTGGGGCCCTGCCACTGAGGAGCTTTTTAACCACCTCGGTGACCTCAGCACCAGAGATTGGAGGGCCCAACCAAGAGTCTCCAAAGTGGGGGAGTCCAAATGAACCTTTTTTTAATGTGTGTGTGTGGGGTGGGGGTGGGACTTGTCCCCTTTACATATAATGGTTGCGACGCCTATGGTCCAACCCCTCAAGGAACCTGGTTCCAGAGCCAAAGCCATGCGTAGAGGTGAGTCTGAATATTTCTAGCCGGAACCTCTCAACTTCACACACCAGCCCAGGCTCCTTCCCCACCAGTGAGGTGACATTCCACGTCCCAATAGCCAGCTTCTGTAGCCGAGGATCAGACCGCCAGGGTCCCCGCCCTCGGCCGCCACCCATCCCACATTGCACCCGACCCCTTTGGCCCCTCCCACAGGTGGTGAGTCCATGGGAAGGGGGACCCACGTTTCTTCTTCGGGCTGTGCCCGGCCGAGCTCCATGGGTAAAAGCCCAGCCACCAGGCGCTCGCCCGCGTGCCCCACCTCCAAGCCCGGCTCCAGAGTGGGGCCCCGGTGACCCACGTCTGGGCGAGGGAACATCAAGTCCATTTCTTTTTCCTCATCATAGGGGTGTTTGGGCTGCACTTTGTCTGGTCCCTCACCTAGGCCCTGTCTGCCTTGGGTGACACTACTAGGGGCGTTTTGTAGTTTTCTCTCATTAAGCCTACACTGTATCGCCAGACAAAAGGACTACATTTCCCAGAAGTCAACAGCACTTCCAGTCGTTGCCTTCTGCTGAAATGGAGGGAAACTTTTGCTCTGATCCGAAAAAGTTCGGTCCTTATTCATAGTGACTTCGGCGCTCAGTGGATGCAGAGAGTCGCACAAAACCAAACGGGAATTGGACCAGAACCGGACTTCCAACCTCATCGGTCAACCTGAGTGGTGCTTGCTGGCCCATGAAGCCTCTCGAGCGGGGAGGAGTTGCTTGGAGGTTTGGTTTTCTCCAGAGCTCACTGGGACTTTCTTCATCCGGATTCTTCTGGATTATTTGGACTTGATCGGGACCATTGTGTGGGTTTATTGTGGGCTATCTGAAGGTCCGGCTCTCTCTAAAAGCATCTTGGTGCTCAACGGCTGCAGAGATCCAATCAGAACCAAACCAGAACTTGACCAAAGCTGGTGAGTACCCATATAAAATTTTGCAGTAGCTACTGTGCAGTACATTATTGTTATTATTATTAACCTTTATTCAACCACACAGATCTATTTTGCAAGGGAGGCCTGGGCCTTAAGGCAGTCTAACATGCATGTTTTTGGTCTGTGGGAGGAAACCGGAGTACCTGGAGAAAACCCACGCAAGCACGAGAAGAACATGCGAAGGCCACACAGAAAGACCCCAGGTCCAACTCGGGATTGAACCCAGTGTCTTCATGCTGTGAGGCAAGTGTTAACCACTGAGCCGTAATGGTGCTACACATACGTATGTTGTTAAAATTACGTAGTTAAAGAGTTTGAACATTGCAAGAGGGTGGGAAGGATTTATAAAACCCTAAAATGTATATCAATACTAAAATAAATATAATGTTCCTACTTCGTGGTTTTTCACTTATTGTGGGGGTGTGTGGAACGTAACCTCCACAATAAACGAGGGACTACTGTACATGTTTCAATTCAATTTAAAACAAATATGACTTCTTGCTTCAATTTTTGGCCAAAAGTTGACGTTTTGTTCAATCAACGTGAACAATCTTGTGCGGACCATTTAAAAACCTGCCTGGTGTTTGTGGTTACTATTTAAAAACATCAAGTTTCTACCATCTACACTTGTGTGACATATTTAAGGTAAGAAAAACAACTTGATGTGGTCAGCGGTGAGAGAAAACTCACCCTCATCCCTCCTCTTTTGTCCCTGCGCATGGCCGCATCCCTCACTTTGTCTCTGTCTGCTTGTGTTCCCATCTGATTCGCCACATTTGTCTCCTTTGGTACTACTCCTCTTTTGCGCAGCTCAATCTGTACAAAAACAAAAGCTCTTAGCTCAGGCTGAAAGAGGAACTGCTCGACACGGGAGCTGGAATGTGTCCAGAGCTCTCACCTTCGACGAGTCCTGTCCCGGGGTGAATATTGTGGGCACGGCATCCTCCCTCAGAAACTGTTTGCCATTGTAGTCCCTGAAGCAGTCGGTCCTGAAGTGCTCGGAGCAGAGGCAAGTGTTGGCAGTTGGGATGAAGTTTTTCATCCCCAGGCTCTGCACCCATTTGCTGGCGAGCTGAGGTTTGCTGAGAGGGAACCTGACGAGCAGGAAAGAAGGAGTGGACATGGTGGAAACCAGTCTGAGGGTGACCTGTTAGAGCAATAGGTCTGAACACCTGATTACAGTGATGTCTGATAATACTGGAGTCTGTCATGTTCACTGGAAATATATTAGTGGACATATGGACTTACCTGAGGCGTTCAAATCTGTTGCATCTTTAAGTTATAAAACACCATGACATAAAACAGAAACCTTAGTGTTTGTGGAAAGGCTTGAGTGCAAACAAGTGCAGGTTTGTCACGAGTTTCTGTGGTATTTGTGATATTTTGTGCCATACTTGACAGAGTTACACCTGCATCCAAAAGGCAGAAGCTGAGTGATAATGTCTGTTAGCAAAACATCTCATGAGCCAGTGTACAGATTTCAATGAAACTCTCAGAAAGTCGTCTCTGAATGTTCAGCTACAGCTACTTTACTTATGGGGTCAACTTCACTTAAGATGGCTATCACAGCTAATCAAATTGACTAAACGCATAACTAGGTAAAACACAGTCCATTTTATATATGTTGAGATAAAATTAGGTGTGAAAGTAACGCAAGTCTCCTCCACAACACAAACTGCAGACACTAACATATAACACCAGATTTGTGTTTAAAACTTTGCCATTAGTTACTGGAGACAATGTTGTTTGTCTGTTAGCAACATATCTCTTGAACCACAGGACTGATTGTAACGAATCCCGCAGAAAGTAATCATTGGATTTATATTTACTTTTGTACTCAACCCAATTCAAGATGGCCCCCATAAAAAAAATCAACCTTTGCAAAAATAAAACAGGCTATAACTCTTTAAGCTGTACAGATATATGTAAAAACTTGTGGATCTGACTGAAAATCATTCACAGCACATGGTCTGACGTTAACACATTGTGCAACATCTTATTATTATTGACAGACTTTTTAATCTTCATTTACATCTCTTGCATGAAAAGCTGTCAAAAATAGACTATTTTCCAAGGAATGTTAGTGTTTTAAATTATTTATATTATATTGCTTTTGAATGAAATTTGCAAATTGTGGACGTGATTCTAAAGATGATTGAGATATTCTTAAAAACCATGACTTGACTGTTTTTTCAACACTGCACATAATGAAGCTTATTTGTCCAATTTAATGTGTGCAAACCCAAAAAGACCTGTGATAGCTGCATAGGTAAGCATGCAAATATTAATAAAACCATTTAAAATATTTTTTAATAAGCTGTACAATGTGTGCAGGATGCAATCTGTAGTAATCTTAGGAACGTGTGAAAGTTGTTGCAACATAATGTGCATGTTGGATCTAATATCTGGTTTTCTGATTCAGAGTTAATTTGGATTAAATTTCCTCAGACAACAAATCAAATAGTTTACTTCACATTCATCGTGACAGGCTATAACTCAGTAAATTGTACAGATATTCTATTAAATTCAACTAATATTTATGGCTAACATAAGGCTTAGTTTCATTTATTGTAGCGCTTTAACTTTTTTAATGCTAACTTCTAGTAACGTGAACTCCTGCTCCAAAGGACTGCAACACACGGATCTTTACGCGTTTCCTTCCACTAGCGGGGTTTTTAGGTACTGTGTGAAACCCACATTATAATATATTTGTACATTACGGGAGATAAAAATATTGTTTAAATGTTTCTCGACCACTCAGAAACAGCTTAGTCTGTCTAAACATGGAGAATGTGCTGTAAGCTTCACAGCTCCTACCTGTAAAATCTGATTTCCGAGCCCTTCACAAACTTGTTATTACAGCCTGGCGCCGCACAAATGACAGGCATGGCGACTGCTTTTAGTTTAAACTATGCAAAAATGTAGCTAACAAAGATAAACACGCTCAGGAGACGGAACACACCACACTCGTTTGTTGTTTTCCGCCTCCGTTGTCGACTAATCCGAACTTCCGGTTTGTAATGAAAAGACTCCGCCCTCTAGCGGCGCTGTGCGTAATTACACATCGTGTGAATTCATGGTGGACATGTTAATATAAATAACTAAATTACAATTAATCATTTTTATACATTAGATATAATTCTTGATATTAGTTATAATCAATAGTAGATTATTCTTGTATATAAACAACCTAAACTACATATAATATATCTCTGCTTGATTATATTATTTACAAGGCTTTTTAATTCAATTCAGTTTATTTATATAGTGCCAAATCACAACAAAGTTGTCTCAGGGCACTTTACAGAAACATTCACATAAAAGCCAATTAGTAAAGTTCTCTATCTAAGGAATCCAGCAGACAAGTTGAATCTTGGCTTGTTGCAGTCTCCCATCCTGAGCAAGCACAGTGGCAACAGTGGAAAGAAAAACTCCCTTTAAAAAGGAAGAAACCTCCAGCAGAACCAGGATCAGGACAAGCGGCCATCTGCTTTGACCGGCTGGTTGAGAGGACAGGAAGGAGAGACAGACAAACACAGAATGGTAGGTCCAGGTGTATCTGAAAGACAAAAAAACACAAGTTAAGGATAGAAAAAATAATTATAAATCAATCAATCAATCAATCAATCAACCTTTATTTATACAGGTAAATCCCATTGAGCCTCGAGGACTCATTTACAAGAGAGACCTGATTTCAACAAAGAAAGATGACAACAATGGACAACAGCAACAACAATAAACAGTTATAAAAAAGCATACTACAGTTTTTTTTTTTGTTTTGTTTTTTAACAAATAGGATGGCTAAAAGGAAAAAGGTAACAAAACAAAAAACAGCTAGATTCCAAGACAAATGTAGAAAACTAACAACAGGAACATGTCAGCATTGGTCCCTGCCAGGTGTCCAACAGATTCTTAAAGCCACTTAGAGAGGTCAAGGTCGAGAGCTTCAAATCTTTTTGTAAGATGTTCCAGGAAACAGGAGCGGAGTAGGAGAAGGCCCTTTTGCCTAGTTCAGTCCTCACTGAGGAAACACTGCAGGTAATAATGTCCTGAGAGCGCACGCTGTAGCTGCACTCACGCAGAGACATGTAGGAGGAGATGTATGAAGGCAGCAGACCAAGAAGTGATTTAAAGATGAAAATGTACCAGTGAGAGAGTCTGTGTGAAGTTAATGATGTCCAGTTAACCAGTGAATACAGGGAGCAGTGGTGGGTACGATAATCACAGCCAGTTATGAATCTTAGTGCACCATGATAGACAGCATCCAACATCTGCAGGGTTCTTGTAGGAGCGTTCATGTAAATAATATCACCGTAATCAATGGAGGGAAGGAAAGTCACAGATACAAGGTGTTTTCTAGCATTCAGGGTTAGACAGGATTTGTTTCTGAAAAAGAAACCCAGTTTAACTTTCAGTTTCTTTATCAAGTTTTCCACATGGAGCTTAAAAGAGAGATGTGAGTCGACCAAGATACCCAAATATTTATAGGAATCAACAAACTCAATGGGGACACAATTTGAGGATACAATCGGAGGAAGAACTGCTGGGACCAACTTCCTATTTGAAAAAAGCATCCCTTTGGTTTTGTCGGCATTTAGGACAAGTTTGAGGCGGAACAAATCAGTCTGGATGATGTTGAATGCAGATTTCAAAAGCTGGAAAGCCTTAGCAACTGTTTTAGCTCGACAATAAACAACTGTGTCATCAGCATAAAAATGTATGGATGCATTAGGGATGTTTTTACCTACATTATGTATGTAGATTGTAAAGAGCAGAGTAAGTACAGACAGTAGCAGAGTGAAAATTGTGTCAGTGTGTCCTCCAGCAGTCTAAATTTATAAATTGACTTTGTATCCAGAATGTATAAAGCAATTATAAACTGAAAGTTAGTGTATCTTTTTCCACATTAAGGTCATCTTTAAATATCAAATTACTTATAATTTAATATTTGGTCATTTAATAGTTCTAATGACATTAGTCCTTATAGTAATTTAAGGTTACTGCTTTTTTAATAATATTGGCAAAAGCAATAAAGTGTTATAAAACAATAGTTTTATCTGTCTATCTGTTTGTCCGTCCATCCATCCATCCATCCAGCACTATTTTGCACTTAATTTTCAGAAAAACAGTTGTTGTTTTTTTGTTTGTTTGTTTATTGTGTTTTTTACAACAATTCAAATTTGATTATACGGACCATACATTTTACAGGATTGTGAAGTTGTTTACAGTAAGTTCTTTTGATTCAGCTGATACTTCACTTTTTATTACTTTTCAAAATAAGTTCACTAAATTCATATTTTCCTCCACTGTGTATAAACATTAGTCTTGCTACATGTTTGAGGAGGATAATACCAGACGCTCCTTGTTGTTTCTTTTTTGAACATTAACAATCCTTACTGACACTACATTCATGAGTTATTGTGCATGTGGATATGTTATTTTAGATTTGTCCTGTGACATAATGCAGAAAACAAAGAGCAGACATGAGTTTCTTGTGTTTCAATGATTGTTTGAAATACCAAAATACTGCCGTACTTTTCAGGTCATGATGCCTTTTGATGGCTCCATCAGTTCAGGCTGCTTCATTCCTTTATAAGAAAGTGCAACTTTGACATTTGAAGATATTTTTGGGGATCGAGGTTAATTTTAGGACTTCCTACACAATATCCCCAAATTAAGTTGACTGGAAAAATAAAATAAAAAACTAAGTGTTTTTTAAAGTATTCAGTATGAAAATATCACATTAAGATGTCGAAGTGAAAAAATACATTTATCATTTCACATTTACATTCAAATTGTAATATTTAGTTTTGATCTATCAAAGTTAAGTCAGGTCCTCTGGACAGTTTCAGAGGACCTGACTTAACTTTGTTGGATTTTTCAACCTGGATTATTGAGCATGAATCAGGTTATTTAGTTTTAACTTTTAAGATTTACGTTATGTTTAAGATTAAATATCTCAACTTCAAAATTGAAATTGATATTTAAAAACTGGTTTAGAGTTTAAATGTAACATTTAGACATAGCATGAAACAAGCCACTTCTTACATTTAGAATTAATTTTAAAAATATTTTAACGATAAAAAAAAAAATCCAAATTAAATGGGGCAAAATATAGCAGAATTTTTTTACATGTTTGTATATCTTTACAATAGAAGCCTTTTTTTGTTTAACCTAAAGTCTCAAAATTGAGAGCACTTGCTCTTTTGCCTCTAACCTCCAAAATAACAATAACAAAAGTTTGCGTTCCCAAATGTTTGCCTTGATTGAAGAAAATAAACATTGCTATTTGCTAATAAACAGGGCAATACTGACAAAACAAATAGTTCAGACAGGTCATCTGGAAGGTTTATTTTTTTGTTGAGACGTTTAGGCCTTCATCCAAAGGACTTCATCAATCCTCGGATGGATTTTCTACCTGGATTATTGAGCACAACCTTTGATGTTCTGAACCACTTTGGCCATGGCTGCCTCAGAGGAGTGGATGGGGGAGAGGGCGGCCCCCAGAAACCATCTTATCACCAGCAAACTGGTTGGTCCACTATGTGGGTGTGCTGCTTGTGGGACTCGGTTTTTGGTGGCTCCTTGGATTGAAGAAGTCCTTTGGATGAAATATGAAACATCTCAACAAACAATAAATCGTCAGATGATCTGACTGAGTATTGTTGGGCATACTCACATTGTTTTTGTTTGTTGTTTATGTTTTAGAGCGAAGATAGTAAAAATATATTGCTAATTATTTTTTACAACTTGTGTGATTTACTGAATATCCTCAGGACCGTGAACTTGGTGTTTTGCGACCAACAGTGCTGCCTGTAAGACTTTTAGCGGAGCGCCAGAGCTTCGAGTCGATGCCTGCAAGACAGAGTTCAGGGAAGAAAGTGACCGCCCGCTGGGTCACATGACGTAACTCGGCTAGCTAACGACAGCCACTATCAGGAGTCACATACGGACGGAGAAGCAAAACCCAATAAACTGACAAGAAGTTACAGCGGCGAGAAGTCCCCGGCAAGTAAATAATTAGCTTGTTGTTAATCCTGAACGTGTTTAATGAACCCAGAAGTTGAAATGAGCTCAGTCGGCTAAGCTGAACTTGTGTTTGTCGCGTGCGGAGGTGTTACATATTGGCCTTGTGCGGATTGACCATGAAGCTAATCTCATCTAAACATCCTGTTTGTTTCGTTTAGAAAGGTTTCCAGGTTAGTGAGTAAACGCTCGACACATTTAACTCCTGATAACTTTGTGTAGCACCTAACGAGACGATCTTTAACTGTGGTTAGCTTCCTGGTTGATTGTTTAGCAGTAAAGTTCAAGTCAAGCTTGGAGAACTAACTCGGCTAATGCTAGCACTAAGTCTAAAGCAACATTTCTCAGCTGTCGGTCCTGAAATGCTCTCAGATCTGTTTCTCTCCAGTGCTACAATAAATATGACCAATGACACGACTCAAGTTTGCTGGATAACATGTCAGCCAGGTTGTTAGTGCTGCTTTCCCCTCGGTTATCAGTCCGAGCAACATTAGAGCTAAATGTTTCAATCTCCTAATGTCTGAGCTATTTAAAGCTTTTGAACCCCCCAACACTTTGAGGAAGCATTCATGGTAATTAAACATTTCAACTAAATAAGCTAAAAACTTCAGAGGGTTGATAGTTTGCTTAAAATAGTCATTTCAACATGTTAAAAGCTAGATTACCATATTGTTCTACACAAGTTGAAAAAGGGAAAAATGAGTAAAAGTGTTAACAGTCGTCACTGCCAAAGTCTAAATCTGCCTGAATATTCAGATTATCCTTGTCTGATTGTACCAAAGTCACGGTCACCCAAGTATCTGCCCTACAATAATCAGAAAACTACACACAAGTACATTTTTATCCAATAACTACTTTGGTCGTTTACCTAATTTTACATTTTAGTTGAGTTCAAAAAGTCAAAATTGTCTTCTGAGACAATCAAGCTAAGATGAGCTTTTCTTGAACTTATTTCTAACCAGTATGTAAAGTCAACTGGACGAGAAGTGCATGTAAGTTTGTGGAAAAGACTACAGCAACACAAAGATGTGTTTGCACTTTCACTATGAGTGTGATCTGCTTCTGCCTTTGTGGGAGAAAAATAAATCCAAAAATGAATGAGCGCGTGTTATTAACATCGCAGACAGTTTGTGTATTATCTGTGTTTATGTGTGGGTTGTACTGACGGGGAATGAAGTGAAATGTTGCACAATACTTTATGATCACAGGTGAAATTGTCATGTAATCCTAATCTTCCTGTAAATTACATTAAAATTATACAAAATGTGTCAAATCATAATGTATATATCGACTTTTCTCTATAAACCCCAGCTTGAATGAAAATAATTTCATATTTTATGTAAATTTGACACTTTGAGTGAAGCTTTTATTAGATCATAGCTGGATGTACGGTTTGTGTTTAGAACAATTCACAATTTTTTTTTAGTTATTAAAATTTCAGTTGGTAGAGCTGCTGCCTCTCAGCAAACAGGTTGCCGGTTCAAACCCCAGCCGGGGACCTTTCTAGGTGGAGTTTGCATGTTTTCTCCGTGTACTCCGGTTTCCTCCCACAGACTAAAAACATGCATGTTAGACTGATTGGTAACTCTAAATTGTCTCTAGGTGTGAGTGAGAGAGTGAATGGTTGTTTGTCTCTGTGATGGACTGGAGACATGTCCAGGTGTTCCCCGCCCCTCACACAGTGACTGCTGGACATGGGCGCCAGTGACCCCTGTCACCTGAAAAGGAAGAAGCGGGTTAAGATGATGGATGGAAATTAAAGCTTCAGCCTTTTGTGAAGTGATGCATATCACCTGCTGCATTTGAAGCCGCAGTTTTAAACTCAAACATGTTATGATGAGAAGGGAAAGAGTTATAAGATGGAACTTTATTGATCCTGCAGGAAATTGTTGTTATAGCTGTTTAAACCCTTGTAGTGGACTGTGTGTGAAGTGTCATGAGGTTTTGAGAGCTCTGTTGGCCGTTGCTCTGTTAGACTCTGTTGGTACATATTGGGGGGTCAGTCTCATCTACTACCACATCCTGCATCAGCTCAGTATTTGTACATTCAAATAACTGCCAGTTAAGTGTTAGCTTGGTGGTCAGTGCTGCAGGTTTGAGCCCAGGTTGTGTCTGGAAGGGCATCCGGCTCCAAATCTTTCATGCGAGTTGACTCACTGTGTAGACCCCTGCAGAAGGAAGGAGCTGAAAGAAAACAATATTGTATTGGTCGATTAGGCGTGGCAGTATATATATATTTTTTTTCAAAAGTTAATCAGTTATACATGGACTTAATAATTACTTTAAATGCTTCATTAATATCCAGTCAGTGGTTTATGAAAAATGTTGCAGGTAGACAGACAGGGTTAACACCACAAGTTAATAACAGGCAAGTCTTCATCCAAAATGCTGTCATGTGTTGTAAATCTGTCACAGCTACTTCAACACCTAATTATAATATGCCAAATTATTAGAGACATAAACAGTTTTGTGTTTTAATTTGGCTACCTTGAATTATGTAGAAACAAATGCATTATTTGTAGTCATGAACCAATGATCACTTTTTGAGTGTTTCATTATTCATTCATTCAACCTTTAACAGGTTAGTCTCGTTGAGCTGTGAGGACTCATTTTCAGGAGAGACTTGTTTTTAACAAAACACAGAAGAGGTACAGGCAACAGGAGACAATCATAAAAAGCATATCAAATGAAAAGTAAATAAAAGAAACAATATAAAAATGAGTCAAAAACAAGCTGCATTATAAAACGATGTCAAATGGGGGAGTGGTGGCGCAGACGTTAGAAGATGGGCCTGTGATCGGAAAGTTGCAGGTTCAACTCCCGGTACCGTCAACATAAAAATGTGGGTGGAAAAAATGGAACGCCCACACCTGCCTCCACCCTCATTCGCCTCATTCTGGGCCCATGAGCAAGGCCCTTAACCCCCCCATCTGCTCCCTAAACAGGTCTCTCTTGAAAATGAGTTCTTGTGACTCAATGAGACTACCTGGATAAATAAAGGGTAAATAAAAAAAAATAAAAAAAAACCAGGAACATGTCTGCATCATTTTAACAAATCACAAGATAAAAAATTTAAGTCAAAATTTCAACCTTAAAATGAACGTCAAAAACTGAAAATTTGAAATGCTACAAAAATGTATTGACAAGATCGAACAGGGTTTAAACCCACAAGTTCAGCAGAGCAGGTTGGACAGGAGGAACGGTCTCTGCAGCCGGACAGCAAACAATATTTACAGTAAGAAGCAGAATAAGCTAACTAAAATAAATTAACGTCTGCACAGTGCTTTATGAAATATTTTGCTAACACAGCAGACAACAGAATACATGTACACATAATTTTTCACACATTTGCACGAAAAAAAAAGAAAGCAAAATGCAATTTCACAACCGTAACAAGTGAATTTGTAGAAAAAATGTTGTGAAATGTAACTTCATATAGTATAAGCATGGCAGAGAATGAGTCAGAAAAAACATTTTAATAATTATGATCAAAGTCCTGAAGAGATGCCACACCTTCTGTTAGAACAAAACAAATCAGAAAATGCAGGGTTGATTTTTTTATTTAACAGACTGTCAACATGCCCAAAAAACAAAACAATAATTCAACAGTTGACTGTTTTGTTTGGACTGACTGTTTTACCATGATACTTCCAGTTTCCATACCTAAACGTTGAAAATGACTCAACAGCTGTGTTTATGAGTTGTAATACCTGCCTTAAGTGACTTTAATAATTTATGCTCATGCAAGGTGCCCACATCTTCTCAAAATAAACTGGAGTATGTCGTAGCGAGGCTCAGTGTAGTCCAAAAATATTCGGGATCCGATATCCCCAATGAAAAAACCTTCCACACGCCGACATTTTGAATTTTCCTCTCCGCCATGAGATCAGGTGGGCGTGCGTGACGTCATCACGTTGTGCTGCCGCTGCAGACTCCTTGTCACTGGGTTGTCGTACAAAAACACCTCCTTTTATATCGGTGAGATATTTTGATGGAATGGCCGATATTTAACTTTAACGCTAATATCGTTTTTAATAAAATAATTATAATATAATATATTTTTTGTTTGTTTTATTGTTGTAGTCTTCCAGTAAACGGTCTGATGCACCTGCTGCCTTTAAAAAAACATAATAAATCCATCAATCTGGTGACCTGACATCGTTCTCTGTCCAGCCCAGCAAGGGTTAATCTAAGAGTAAATTCATATATATTTTCAAAAGTGAATCTGCAAGCCGTGTGTGAACTACGGGCTTTCATGAGAGAGTGCATGAGAACATCAGTTCACTTTGCAGCCTGTGATTCCCAGAATCACTGACGTCTACATTTCACACCAAGTTGTTGCTGAACGTGGAAAATAATTTTTGCTTCAAAGTGAGAGTTAGATCCGTTTTTTACCCTGAGAATGTGGAGGAAGTGTGGTTTCCCACTTGGTCTTGCTGACTGTGGACACTCAGGGTTTATATTCACACTGGAGGCATTTATTTCTGTCACCGTGACACACCCTCATCGATGCTGACATTGAGTTTTGCAGTTCCATTTCACTAAACAATACTTTTTTTTTTTTCCACTTTTTTTTAATCATTGGATCATTTATTATTGAAAATTGAAGGAGTTTTGGTTGTGTTGGTCCAACAAATCACATCATGCCTAATCTCATTTGATATTGTGAGTGTGCTCAGAGTATGTGTTAAGATATACTGTGACCCTTTTTTAAGACTATTTTTATCTTAAATGATCAATTGGCTGCCACTTAAACTGATGCCAGTTATTGGATTGTGAAATCATTTCATCGCGCTGACTGATGTCTGTGCTGACAGGTCAGATAAGTTGTGATCTTGTACGTGTAACCTGCTACTATTGTTTGAATTGAAAAAACAATAATTAGTATAGTTTTTGCAGTAACATTTAAAATATTTCAGTACAAAAAAAATAATTTGGTGAGATAAAAAAGTTGCTCTTCTTGCCGTATTGATTTTGTTGGCGCTTTTATTTCCATCATTCTGTGAAAACAGACACACAGACAAAGGTGACTGACCGATAAGATGCAGGGAACATTGGACTCTACCAGCCAGGTCAGGGTGGGGGAAATGGGAAGATCCATGCTACAACGTTTTACAACCAAAGAAAGCTAGTTCAGTCAATAAAACACGTCTGTGGTTAATGCACCTGTTGCAGAGCTGATAGAGCTGCTTGTAGAGCCTGGTAAAAAGAATTTGGAGACATTGTTGTCTTTTTTCCCAAATGGATTTGTAGTTTTTGTGCCCTGATAATCGATGTCTGCTCATAACTCTAGTTAAATATGCAACTTTAGTTTTATTTTCCTACTCTCACCAGATTAACATGAGCAGTGATTGTTAGCAGTGGATTAGTTTCATTTCTTTCTTTCTTTTTTGGTAATGATGGATAAAAATTGTAATTTTTTTTTTTTTTTTTTTTTTGGTGTGTGTGGTTTGACATTACTAAAATTGGCTGCCTAAATACTCATAGAAAGTGAATGGTTCAGGGGTTGAAGAACAGCAAATGACCTGTAGTAACCTGTGGTGTTCCCTCTTTCACCCTGTCTCCTCCCTCTCTGTTTTCCCTCCCGTCTCCCATAGGGCTTTGCAGAAAGTGACTTCTTTCCTATTCTCCGTCTTCAAGATATCGAGTCGTTCAAACCTCTGCACGATAATTCACAGAGGGGTTTGTCATCCTGTAAGGTTCGTCAGGCAAAGCTCGGCCTCCGTCAACGCAGAGGTATCAACAGACCGAGGACGTGGGCAAGATGGAACTGCAATAACTAGGTCATCAACTTCAGAGGTAAGGTCAGTCCAACACATCACCTCTGCTCCAAGTAAATTTGACCTTAACATGGCTTTAAAAAAAAAAAAAAAAAAATATATAT